TAATATAATTATGCAAATTTTGTTCTGGCTAAAATCATTCTATCTACCAATAAAACAGGGTGCCATGAATACCTGGGTCATTAAAGTATGTCGTGAATTACTGGCTTAAAACAAAAAGAATTTTTCCATTACAGCGTTGAAGTCCTAATTAATTCTAGACATAGGTAACAAATGCCCCATTCATCAAATCAAGCCACTCCTGAACCAGAGATAACATTACGAGTGTCTTACCTGGGCTGAGGAGAACAAGAACGGTACTGTTAGTGGTCCAATGTCCTATTTTTAAAAGAAAGTCTTTTGGAAATCAGGGTCCCAGATTTGGGAGGAGAGGTACAGAATTCATGTTACTTGAAGTCCAGTGTRAAGTTTCCACAGTCAGTGATGATTTGATGAGCCATGTCCTCTGCTGCTGTTGGTCCACTGAGTTTTATCAAGTCTACAGTCAGAGCAGATGTCTATCTGGACATTTTAAAGCACTTCTGCTGAAACACTTTATGGAGAAGCTTATTTAATTTTCCAGCAAGACTTGGCTCCTGCCCACACTGCCAAAAGGACCGAAAACTGACTATGTAGTATTCTAATTTTATGAGACACTGAGTTTTGGCATTTCATTATTTGTAAGTGATAATTGTAAAAAAACTCTCACAAATAAAGGCTTAGCATATTTCACTCTATATGTGCTGAATGCAGGGGTGGGCAATCCTGGTCCTCGAGGGCCACAGCCCTTCATATTTTACTTGTTTCTCTGCTCCAACACACCTGATTTGAATGAATAACTGATTGTAAGACTTCTGCAGAACTTGGAAGAGGTAATTCAGTGACTGAATCAGGTGTATTATAAAAGGGAAACAAGTAAAACATGCAGGGCTGCGGCCCTTGAGGACCAGGATTGCCCACCCCCGATCTATAGACTGGCAATTTTTATATTTTTTGCTTTTTACGATTTTCACATTTTTTTTTTAGATGCACCTGTAATGGCAGAAAGCAGAGTGCTGTTTGTGCTATGGTGACTGTGATTAGTGGTGACTGCATACATTAGGCTGTACATGTCTAATCTAGATGCTGCAAAGGTGACCTGCAGAAATACCTTCTGAACTGCTGTTGAACTTTGTAATTAAGGCATATAAAATAGGCTCCTTGGCTGAATTAAGATTTTTCACTTAGATATTTTGGTCTCCTGCCATTCTGGCAGTGTCCAAAGATGCACACATAGCTTCTAGCAAGATGGTGGCACAAACTCTCACTTTATTACATACTGTATATTGTGCTATGGTTGGTCATTCCACTGTACCTCTATTTCAGTGAGTTTCTCCCTTCAAAATGACATGTTATATGAATCCATTCTAAGTGTGTTTTAACTATTCTAAACTGATGCACTGCCAGTCCAGTTCTTGCACATTTTCAGACCAGCACTTGTGACAAAGACTGGAGCTACAAGGTCTACAGTGCAGCATGTCTGCAGCAGGGGTGTTTCTAGGGGCGGGGCCACAGGTGCAGTGGCCCCATCTAAAATCTGATTGCCCCCCTGAAGTGCCCCTGTTCTTTCACTCATCTGTTCTTGCCCAAGAACCATGATGGTGGCTGCAGCTCCACTTCCAACCACTAATGGTGCCAGTGAGTCAAATAGAAAGTCCAGCATGAAACAAGCTTACAGAAGTCTTTTTCAGTTTGAACAATCCTGCAGAAAAAAGTTTTTTACTGGCAACGATGGCTAGATTTTCTCACATGTGTGTTTGAGAGTATTTTATTTATGTACAGTAAAAAATCATGTAAAATTGATAAGGAGGATTTACTGTGCAATCTTTAATGTTTGAACACACATGTGAATCATTAAATGTATAAACCTTACAATAACTGGGGATTTGTGTGCAAGTATGTTGAACAACTACTTGGCCCCTCTATAAATTCTGTGGCCCCTTGATGGACCCTTACACTGAAAAATCCTAGATCTGCCACTGGTCTGCAGGCATGCGTCACTGCAAATTACCACGTGTTTACCACATGCCTTTAAGTGAGTAAGAACCACCTACATCTCTGTCACCTAAAAGTGCTTAACCAGTCACAGTTTTTTATAGTCTTGTTCATATTCAACATAAAGGTGCTTTATGAATATAAGGACACCATGAGCACAAGGTTGCTAGCTGCAGTGTGAGCTCGAGATACATATCACTAAATGTAAATAGGCTACTTTAAAAAATCACATGAAAATATAATGCAAAGGGAAGCTATTTGTGTTTGTTGATGCTTAAATAAAACACTGCGCTCACAACATGTACTTTATCTTTAAAATTCTAATGTGTACAGTAAAGATGTGTGTGTATTAAACTTGTTTACTTATTGAAATTCTTTCCTTTTTTCCCTTTTGGTGTAACAGCTGTGGGTCTTTAATCATTTTGTCTTTCTCATGTGTAGCTAAAAGGCAAAAGTCTGGCAATTAAGCTTTTGCTACTCTCTGTTTAGTGTGCACTTGTTTCTGCTATAGAGTAAGGACCGTAATATGTTTTTAACCAACAAAGTGRGATCACTTTTGAGAYATGARGACATTTTCCCRGTCCTCACTTTTTGGCAGTTCTACTGTGCTCTAGGTTTAAGTRAATTAAGTTTTGGTTAAGATTAGGGTTAGGAATAGACTAGTAATGGTTTGGGTTAGCGAAAATTTCTGGGTTAAAGGGGACCTAATATGCAAAATTCACTTTTTTTCAGTTTTTTWAAACTTACATTCAGGTCTGTACTGCTTCTAAAAAAGCAGTCTAAGCACAAAAAAAATGCACTCAGAGGCATTTTATAAGTAAATGTATTTTTCTGTSTTGAAATGAYCTGTTTTGAAATACSGCTGTTTGTAATGTCACAAACAACCCACCCCAACCTGAGCCCAGCCTGTCTCCTGTTAACCCAAGCGGAGACTTCGGCCACTTCTTCACAGGATGGTACTGCTCTTAGAACAGTCACGGAGAACAGAGATGTGTGGCTTAATTTTATTTATTTTTATTTTATTTTTGATCTCAATGTTCTAGCAATATAAACAAAGAAAGTTGTAGTTTGTGTAAATAATTTCACCATGGACTACTTTGGAAAAAGAATACTTTCTGCTGAAAGGAAACTTCTGGTGGTGGGTGGAGTTAACGTAAACAACAAATAACAACGTAAACAAGTCAATGACATTCTGTTCAGCTCCTGAGCTGACCAAAAGGGACATAATAAATATAACAAAATCCATGTCATCTGTTAAATAGTTTAAAAGTTTGGAGCAGTCAATAACAAAATGACCATAGTACATACAGGGCCTGGCCTGAGCTGGTGTTCCTTGGGGGACCTAATAAGTATGAGAAAGACCAATCTGAATGGTCTCTTAATGAGAGGAAGCAATAATAGGGATTTGTAGTTTTTTCTTTCAGTCTATTTTCCAAGTGATWATCTACTGCAGTGGTTCCCAAACTTTTTATCTTCTGACCCACAAACTATCCATGGCAAAAACTTGTGACCCCAAATATTACTGGTCTGAGTACATGAACTTCGTTAATAACCCTAAAAACACAGGCTTTTTGACAATCTAAACAGCTTATACACAAATATAAATACTTATTCATACTTATTTTGTGTTTTTGTAATAATTATAGGGAAATATTACATCAGCAATTATTTTATTAGCCTTTAAATTGATTTCTGGAGATTATCCAAGGTGCTTCATGACCCATAATTGGGTCCCAAGCCCAACTTTGGGAACCAAAGTGCAGTGGTTCCCAAACTTTTCAGCTTTTGACCCACAAAATAACAGTAGCAGAGACCTGTGCCCCCAACTATTTTTGGATGATAAACATTTGTATCAGGTCAACATAACATGGGCATAGTAACAATATTTTTTATACTGCATTTACCCATTTTAAATATACTAACCTCACCGATCTGTAGCAACTAAGGCAAAAATGTAATTAACTCAGAAAATCTTTTCAGGACCCCAYCTTGATTTTTCGGGACCCCACTTTGGGTCCCGACCCYAACTTTGGGAAACACTGATCTACTGCATGCCAGGGATGGGCAACATTTTTTTGTTGACACTACCAGAGCRCGTTGCAAACTTAACTGTAAATTAAATGTAATACATCTGCCATTTTAAAAAGGTTTGTCTCTCTCTCTTACTTATTTTAGTGAGCTGAAATGCAGCGGTGTCAGGTTCTGTTAAAGGTAAAGCCCAGAAGCAGGCAGGCACAGGGAGCATAAGATATTTTTATGAAAGAAAAAGCAAAAACAAAAGATGACAGGGTGGCAAACATCCCATTTTACAAGGAGTGAACATGAGGAGAAAACCCAAATGTGTGGCACAGAGCCAACATAACGCAGAACAACCCGACACACTTATAGGAACACTAATGAGCTCAAATGACAAACCCCTGTGAGAGACAAGCAGGAGTGGGAGGGGCAAAGGAAAGACACAGGAGAGCATAAACAGAACGGAAATATGAATAAACAAACCTGTAC